TAGTGTGCTATTAAAAAAATAATAACTTTACCATTTTTGTGTACTTGACAGATGACGTCATCTAGAATCTTTGTTGTAAGAAAATTTTAAATTTTTTTTACATGATAGGTAACCTCAATACTCACTCTTACCTGCAGACAAATTTCAACGTTTTACTGTTAACCGTTAATGAGATATTAATTTTTATGTTATGTACCTTTTCTGCTAAAATTAGGGAAAACAATTACATTTCGAAAAATATTAATTTTAAGCATAGGGAATCTTTAACAAAAGAACCTCAGAATCTTATGTAGATTCCAAAAAAAAAATAAATAAATAAAAATGGTGTCATTCCATTTAAAATAACGAAGTTGAGGTCAACTTCCGGTATACCCGGAAATGCAACCATTCTGAAAATATTTTCATTTATGCCTACAGCCAAATTTTCAGATCTATATGTTAATAGATTTTGTTTAATTTCAGTCTTTTAGGGATATTTAGTGAGAAATAAAATGTTCGTCTGTTATACGCTAGGTGTCAGCAGCAATTCAACATTTACAGTCCTGCACGTGCGCTTCCTATTATAGTTAGAAATTTCGTCCAAAAACAGGATGAAACTAGGGAAGAAGGGACATTTCTGGAAATTGAAATTTATTAAATAAAAATTTTTAGTAGAAACATACATGGAAAAGTATGACACTAACATATAGTACAGACCATAATATATAAAAGTAAATATCTAAACTAAATTAACTAAACAAAGAGAGTTGATGTAGAAATATTTTTGCTCGGAAGGAAATTGAAATAAGATATTACGAATTAAAATGGTGGATTTATCGCCACTTTTTTTTACTTTACCTTTAAATTTATTTAGATTTAAATGTTCAAATGTGTCTAATTTTTTTGTACCAATTGCCGTCTCCAATATATTTTTATTTTTGAGGTTAGGTCTAACTTTTCCGACTAGTTTGGACTAGTCCGGACATATCCGTGGAAACGTGTCCTAATTTTACATTCCTACGAAATCCACATCTCTAATGATCAGGTAACATTATTTTCAAATATCCACTTAGCTTATTTTTGATTTTTTTAGGGTGTTATTTTAAATTCTAATGGTAACATATTGTAGATTTTAGGACCTATATACATTACATGACTGTGTTTGTGTATGTCATTGGCGGAAAGCTTACGTATTGAATACTTTTATTCCTAGTGTTTGGCTCATGAGTAATTGCCCTGTAAAAAAAAATTTTTACCATAAATCACAGATTTTGTATGTAACAGATGCAAATTTAGCAGATTACTCTTTTGAAAAAGTGTATTTCTAGGATATGTTTTGTTTTTAAAGAACATAACTAATTATATATTTTTGAGTTATCAGTAGACGTGATAAAGTAGTTTTATTTGCATTCCCCATACAACCAAACCATACAGACTCAACTAATGCTATGTAGGTATACCATTTTCAAAGTCTAAGTTGATAAAATTTATAAATCAATTTTCTTATTTCGCTATTTACATATTCTATATGAAATTTCCAATTTAAGTGTTGGTCTATATAGACACCCAGATATTTTGAGGTTTCTTTCTGGAATATTTTTAAATCACCATCACACTCCTCTTAGTCATTGAGAAACATATAAAATGAGTTTTTTCAACATTTAATATTAGAAGGGTACTATCAAGCCACCATTTTATTTTTTGTTATAGCTTTTTCTACCTTTTTTAGCGTTGCATCCCATATAGAATCACTTACTATAATTACTGTGTCATCTGCGTAACAGCACATTATCTTCAGCCAGTAGTTTCGTTATACTGTTAACATAAATTAAGAATAGTATTGGCCCTAGCACAGTACCCTGTGGCATACCGAATTTCACTGGAAGTGGGGCACCAATGGTATCACCGATTCTAACCTGTTAGGTTCTACCATATTTAGATAAAAAATAAAAACATTGTTGACTACACCTCTAATACCAATAATGCTTACCTTTTCCAGAAGAATTCGGTGTGATACAATGTCAAAGGCCTTCGCCAAGTCTAAAAATGTGCCTATACTATTTTGACCATTGTTAAAACTTTGTACAATAGAGTACATTGTACAAAGTTTTAACAATGGTCAAAATAGTATAGTAACCCTAGACATGGCATCCTCCGCACTGGTGTTTTGTTTAAAGCCAAATTGGTTCTTGGAAATTAAATAATTGTTCTCTAAATAATTATTAAGTACTAGGTAATGCAATTGGTCTATAATTTTTGGTTACATTTTTATTACCAGATTTATATACAAATATTATTGATTTTTTTAAATATCCGGATAAACACCAGTACTAAAAATTAAATTAATTATATGTCTCAAGGGTTCAATTATATGTGTCTAATGCATTTTTATCACCTTGTTATATTATCGTTTCCACACGCAACTTTGTCTGAATCCCTTTTATAATTCCTTCACTATCAATAGAGCATAAAAACGTTGATGTATGGTTTACATTACCAATATCATCACAAAACTGGTTATCTGGAATAATTACTTTCTTTGCTAAATTTGGACCGACTTCGTTAAAATATATTAAATTCATTTGTAATCTACAACTCGTTAGTCAATTCTGTACCAGATGAGTCAAGAATACATTTTATTTGTTGTTTCTCTACATAATCATTAGTAGTAGTTTAATTCTGTCCCAGATTTTTTTTAATCATGCAAATTTTTATTTATCAATTGACTGTAGAAATAATTTTTTGTTTTTCTTATCAATTTAGACGACATATTTCTATATTACCTATAACTGTTTAATATATTGGGATCATTGGAATTTTTTTTTTTTATTTACTGCAAATTTACAATCTACTTTATCAAATAAAAAGTAATAAGGAAATGTTTTGTGGGAAACTTGGCTTGAATCAGGCACCATCCACTGATGGTGCTAGGTCATCTGGCCACAATCTCCTTAGCCTCCTTTCTGCAGGGGGTCAATCAAAGAGTTCATTTATGAGATGATTACTATGATTAGTGTTGCGATTTCTGTATTCAATTGAGTACGGTCTTATCACATCCCTAATATATGGAATGTCGAGATCATCATGCAGGATTTGATTTGAAACGTACCATGGGGCACCAGCTATCATTCTCAGAGTTTTAGATTGGAATGTTTGAAGAATCTTTGTGTTGGAAGGTTTACTACAACCTCATAATTCTATTCCATATGTCCAAACAGGTTTTAATATTGTCTTATATAGGATTAATTTATTTTATAGAGATAGTCGTGATCTTTTATTTATTAACCAGTGCATGATTTTTACTTTCAGGTCTAATTGACATCTTTTCATTTTGATGTGGGTTCTCCCGGTTAATTTTTCATCTATATGGTGCCCAAGATATTTTACCTCTGATTTCACTAGTATAAGAGCATTGTCTATGTTTACTTGCGGACAAGAACTTCTTTTTTGTGGTAAAGGTTATTTGGGTGGATTTATTGGTGTTTACGATAATTTTTCATTTTTTAAGCCAGTTTTGTAGTGAGTTAACATGGTTTTGCAGCTTTTCGGATGCTCCTACAGGATCAGAATTTGGTGATAGGATAGCCATGTCATCCGCGAATGTAGCCATTAGTGTGTCATTTGTTACTGGAACGTCTGCTGTAAATATTAGGTATAGAAAGGGTCCTAGGACGCTGCCCTGTGGTACACCAGATTTTATAAGATGCTAATTGGATAAGCCATCTTCGAATTTGACTTGAAAATGACGATCACTTATGTAGGATTTTAAGATTAGGCATAGTTGATCAGGCAGACGCATTTTTAATTTGTATAATAGTCCCTGATGCTAGACTTTATCAAAGGTTTGCTGTATGTCAAGAAAAACTGAGGCACACATTTTCTTTTCTTCTAGACATTGCTTGATTTTGTTTACAATTCTATGACATTGGTGATGAGGAATTAAATTATTTACAGGCACAGTCTCTTCTATTTAGGATGAGTCTTTCAAATACCTTAGACATAATAGGTAAGAGGCTGATTGGTCTATATGAGTTGACTTCTGTTGGGGGCTTGCCAGGCTTAGCAATCATAATAATTTGAGCATATTAACAAGTTTCTTTAGTTTGTCACATCTTCATATTGATGCTATTGAGACACTTGTTATCCATAGTTTAATGTGAAATTGTTTATTTGTTATTTGATGTATTACTGTCCATTTTTTATATGATTTTGAAAAGTTCTAACAAACTTTTCTGCACAGTTATTAACCTCCTCACTTACTAATACCTTTTCCCACTTTTTACTGCTTAGGGACGCTTCTAATTTTACATTATTTATTTTACAAGCATTTTTTTCCTGACACAAGGTAAATTATCTAAATTAATGTTAAACATAATCGGATAATGATCTGTAAAACTACAGACTTATTATTTCCATATAAACAGGATATGCCAAAAAAGTCTGGGTGGTCAGGTGACATATTCTTAAATGGAACACCCCGTACATTTTTTAAGTGCTTCAACGGCGCCTATCCACAAAAAGAATTTTTTTTTAAGTTGATATACCGGTTCGGGCGGGGTTGCTGATTATCCCAAAAACGGCTGAAGCTATAGAGACAACACAAAACACGTTCATAAGTTAATTCTGCATCCTCTCATGTGAAAATATACAGGGTATTCCACATTAAAAAATAGAAAAATTAAGTTTTCGAAGTTGTGAAATATATTTTGACCACCCTGTATATCACAGGATCATGCAATTTTATCTGAAATATTTGTCAACTTTCTGTAACAAAAAGCTCGATTATTCTTTCTTAAATTTCACATTTGTGACTGTAGCGATTTATTTATTGGTAGATGGTAAAATTCAAATTTTCTACCAAAGAATTAAACACTACAGGTAATAAACACCACGCCACAAGTAATACAACCTCCTGTATCCCTGAAAATACCTAGTGGAAGGAGGGTTACACATTTTAGAGACAATGGACACGCATCCAATATCCGAGTATGCTAGGATCATTTTCTGGTTTAGAAAAAATCTTAGTCCTCGACCGGGGATCGACCCCGGGACTCCTAGGTTAGAGGCAAATGTTCTTACCTCTCGACCAAAAACCACAAAATTAATAAATCAACTGCAAACAATTTTTATGTGTAGATAAACTCCAATGAAACACTTCGAAACATGCAAAAATATATGGGGTGTTCCGTTTAAGAAAATATCACCTGACCACCCACATTTTTTTGGGACATTCTGCATATTTGGAAATAATTTCCAGAAATGCCCCTTTAATCCCGTTTTTGGATGAAATTTCTAACTATAACAGGAAGCCAGTAGTCGAAGATGGGAATGCAAGTGCAGGACCCTATATAACATTTCTTCCTGTCTATGACATTTATTACCTATTACAGTTTTCAAGAGAGCCTAAAAGAGAACATGGCACCCTTAAACGAAAATTAATATATTTTTTTTTTTACCTAATTTTACTCCACTATTAATTTCATCTTGTCTTATAATAAAAAAAATTTACAGGATGGGGCAATAGTGCATCCGTCTTCGATAACACCAATTCTATCATACTAGAAATTTGACTAATAAACTTATTTTCGAATGTATAAGGCGAGCCAAGACAATTCTACAGGGTCAAGTGCTTTTTTTTAAATGGAATACCAAGTATATCAGTACATTTTTGAAGCTTCTTTATAGTCTCCTTTCACCCCTATATATATTTTTTAAATTAATTAAACACCACAGGTAATACGACCCCTTTTATCCCTGAAGGTACCTCATGGTACTTTGTGCAGGAGAGGGCTATACATTTAGAGACAATGGACACACACCCAATATCCCAGTATGCTAGGAGTAACTTCTGGTTTAGAAAAAATCCTAGCTTCTTAGCTGGGGATTGAACACGGGACTCCAGGGTGAGAGGCAAGTGTCCTTATCGCTCGACTACGGAGTCACGGATATTAATATTATTGACTATCTCCCAACCACTTGGATGTAATATATATATATTTTTTGTTGAAATAATGTCATCTGCAGATGCATATTGAAAAATCACTACAGACGAGACATCTGTATATTTCTGAATCATTTTCACTTCCTAAAAGTATACAGGGTGGCCAAGAATAATTTTTCAATTTAGAGTTTTTTGGATTGAATTTTCTCAATTTTTTCAAGTGGAACACCCTGTATATTTTTCGACCATGTAATGTAGAATTGAAAAACTAAAATTTTTTTGTATGTACATCCCTATGGTTATTTGTGACCATTTTCGATTTATTGAGCAATAAGTTCAATATTCAAGAATAAACCTAAAAAATTAAAGATTTTTTTCAAATAATTCAACAAAAAAAATTATAATAAGTGCTCTATGTGTTGCCCATTTTGATTGACACATATCTCTATGCACCTTTAGAATGAGTTTTCTATTGTTCTTAAAATTGCCAGTGTGATACTTCTAAAAGCAGTTCCTTTCCTTCATATTTTAGATTATAGTTGGTGTATCTCTATAAGCAATTTACTTAATGTACCCCCATATGAAAATCTGGTGATCTAGCAGGCCATTTAGTGACACCATAGTTCTCAAAAAATGAATGTAAATAGCTCCAGTCAATCTGCCACCAAAGAAATATGGCCCTATTAGGTTAGGTTAGGTTATTATGAGTGGGTCCTTGGGGAACCTCCACTGCGGCCATTAGCAGGCCTATTGTCTCTCTCTCCTAATTATATTTCACCCAATAAGTTCAGTCTCTTAATGCAACTGATAATTTTATTGGGTGAGAATGTGTCCAGATCCTCTGGCAGCAGTTGCCCTTTGCCAAATATTGAGAATCGGATCCTCTCCATCCACAGCGGGACAGATGCATAGGACATGGTCTACCTTCTCATCATCCTCCAAGCACAGACGGCACTCAGCGTTTTCCGCTAGGCCGAGTTTATGCAGATGATAGTTTAGTCGGCAGCGCCCTGTTAGAGTTTTCAGGTTTACCCTGTTTAACAATAAAAGTTTCTTAGTTCTTGATTTCAAGGGGTATTTTATAAACGCCTTAGAATGAACTAATCCTGGTAATTCTTGCCAATACTGGAGAGTTTTCCTCTCAGCCCAGGTTGAGATTGCCATCTTAGCAGTACTTGAAGATATACCAAGTATTAGTTCTGGTCCGATGATTCGTGATCCTGCTCCTTCTCTGGCCAAGGAGTCGGCTATTTCGTTACCTTCCATACCAGAGTGGCCGGGTATCCAGACCAGGGTCACTTTGTTGTTTTTGCTCAAGTGATTTAGAGCCTTCTGACAGTTCCATACCGTTTTGGAGTTACAGCGGTAGGAGCGAAGAGCTTTTATAGCTGCTTGGCTATCTGAAAAAATTTTAATTGATCTGCGTGTAAAATACATATATTCCAGCCTTCGTTCACACAGTTCAATGACATAAACCTCGGCCTGAAAAATAGTTGCATTAGTACCTAGGTTTGAGGATATCCTCACCCTTGGCCTATAGCTATGTACTCCGGCTCCTGTTCCCTCAGGAGTTTTTGGAGCCGTCTGTAAACCAGCAACTATCTGCCCTCAGTAGGTCGGTTTTATTCCGATCCCACTCATCTCATTCTAAAAAAGGATGTTGACGGTCAGCTCATAGTTGGTCAAGGTAGGCATAGTATCCGAGAGAATTGCCAGGATGCTGTGACTTTCTATGTCATCCAGCAACCTGTTCCGCTCCATGATATTAGCCTGCGGCATATTAATAGCCGCTTGTTGCAGTCTATATGTTGCCCACCTGGCCTCTCTCTCCAAGTATATATGAAGAGGGGGTAAGTCCAGGAGGATTTCCATTGCATATGGCCCTATTACATGTTCTCCAATAATTCCTCCCCAAACGTTTGCGGACCATCTGTGCTGGTTATCAACTTGCCTGAAAAAGTGTTCCAATACATAATAATGGAAATTGTGCTTGTTCCATTTTTATGAAAAGTTGCCTCATCAGTGAATAAAACATTATTGAAGAAAGTAGCATCATCTTGCATTTTACCTCTGGCTCAGTTACAAAACTGTAGAAGCCTTTGATAATCGTCATCACTTAGTTCCTGGTTTCATTTGTGTGTGATATGCATGAAACTTCTTTTTAAGAATCTACTAACAGAATGTCTACTTATTCCCACCAATGAGTTCCCTTCTCTCTGTCTAATATGGGGATTCTCAATCATTACCAGTACTACATATAACTTATTTTCTTCGTTCACATTTTTTATTCGTTTACTTTTTCTATATTGTACATTGCCAGTTTCCACAAATCTATCAAGCAGGTTTTGGAACCTCTTAACTTCAGAGAGCCTTTTTTCAGGATGGTGATAAATTCTATTAGTAAGCAAACGATTTCCTTCCAACTCGCCCAAAATACAAATCATGTCTACAAGTTCTTCTTTGTTAAAATTCATTTTAAAAAACCCCAATTGACAAAAATAAGAACTTACGACCGATAACTGCAATAAATATTCATTTGTGCAAGACTTGATACCGAACTGAGGTTTTATTGTTTGTCGAATAAAAAAACAACCAAAGTAATTTACAAGCAAAATGTTCACAAAATATTGATGTGCTGGGCGAGATCAAGACAAACATAAAATAACCTCACTAAAAAAATTAATGCTATTTTTATGGACATGTAAATTTTTCTGTTGAATTATTTGAAAAGTTTATTTTTAAGTTTACCCTGGTGGAAATAGTTTCTGCCAATAATCTAATTTAGTCTTGCAGTGTTCTGAAAAACAATTCCAGAAGAATGAGTAAGTCTAAAAAATTCTGAAACATTCTGAAAAAGTATGAAAAGATCTATGTAAAACTTACTAATCATTTTAAAGACTGCATTTTTACAAGTTTTTGGACTCTTCTAGAATACTTTTTCAGAATTAATCAGATCTTTCATGAAAATTTAGCTAAAGTAAAAGTAAGACTTTTTTTAGAGTTAATCAGTAAAATTTAAAAGATTCAGATTTTCGAAAAATTATTTACTGTAGGTTTTATCATATTTATTACTTCTCGTAAGGAATATAAAAACTTGATAGGAGGAGGGTTATTAGTAAAAAAAATATTAATGTTTATATTCTATACATTTTTAAATTTTATTTACAGATTTTTTTTTGATAATTAATTATATACGGTTAAAATATACAAACTGTTTTTATTAAATAATTACAAGACGATAATTATTATTATTATAATATATATAATACAAAGTATTTCAGATAAAGTTGGATCGTTTGGATCATGATGCACAGAGCATTCTTGATTTCTATCATTAGTAGCAGCATTCATTTCATTTCCAAAAATTCCAAATCTTGCACCGCCAAAGCCGTTGCTGGTAAAACAAGTGGGCATGCATTATTATTAATGTTCACATAACTCCGGATATATCTGTACTTTTTACAATATTTTCGATTGGACATACGTGCTTTTGTTTATATCGATATAATCCTAACAATCAACACTACACTATTATTTTATAAACGAACACAAAAGGCACCTCTTCTACATTAGCTGTTGTCATCATAGTAAAGTTGGCATCATACGTGGAAAAGTGAAATTGAAAGTGGGGTGATGGCATGCGCAACAATGCATCATTCGATTTAGGATGGCCAATCAGAACCCCTGATTATGACTGACTAGACGCCACAGAGAACCTCTGTGTAGTCTGTGCTAGACGCGATAGACTTATGGTTTTAGAATAAATTGTGTACTAATACTGTATTGTATGTTTTATTACGTGTATTTCTTAAATGTTTTTGAAATATTTTGTACCAGGTATATATATTTATTATTAGTATTAATTAAATATTCTTGAAATAGTTTATATTATATTTATCTTAAAAGTATTTCGTTAATATTTCTTAAAATCACTTGTATTATATAACATTTTATTAAGTGTATTCCTTAAATGTTTTTGAAATAATTTGATTTATATGTATTTTATTAAGTATTTCCTAAATGTTTTTGAAATATTTTGTATTATATATTTATTTGTAAGTATTTCTTTGTATTATATATATTATAATAATAATAATTATCGCCTTGTAAATTATTTAATAAAAACAGTTTGTATATTTTAACCGTATATAATTA